AATTTTACGTATTACAATGTTACTTACTTTTATATACATAACTATATGTAGGTATGTTATGTTATAAGTGTGGGAGAGCCATGCTTCAGCACGAATGGGTCGGCTCGACCGAAGTGATACCACGGCCTCACAGAAAACCGGCGTGAAACAACCACAGCGTTGTGTTTCGCCGTGTGAGTGAGGTTACCGGAGGCCCAATCCTTCCCCTTCCCGGACCCTTCCCCAATCCCTAAATCTCCAAATCCCTAATCCCTAAAAGGTCGGCAACGCACTCGTAACTCCTCCGTTGCGGGTGTCCATGGGCGGCGTTGAGTGCTTACCATCAGGTAATCCGTCTGCTCGTTTGCCGACTTATAACATTATAAAAAAAAAGGTATAAGATTGACAAGATCTTAGTTAATCAACCCAAAATATCAGACTGCAAGATTAATCGGAGAAATATTTAATATTCCAATTTGAGACGAGACGAGACTGTCTAATAAAACACCGTACTATCTGCGTTCCTCCAATTACAACGGAGCTGCAGTTTTATGTTCGTAGTTCTAATTTAAATTGAATAATAAAGAAATTATTGCAATGTAGAATTAATTCTAAATTGGATTTAGTCATATATTAAATTCAGGTATCACCTGATTAAGGTTATCGTCGCCACCCATGGACACCCAGAGTTTGAGTTGCAAGTGTGGTGCCGTCTTTTTGGTGGTTAGGGATTCAGGGATTGAGGATCGGCTCAGACTTCCTGTAACCTCACTAACGTTGTTTCACGCCGGTTTTCTATGGGGCCGTTGCACCACTACGGTCGCTTTCCACATCGTTGTTCCAATGCGGCTCTCTAGATATAACGAGTATCCTTGTAGTATTTCATAGTTACTAAAACCCTAATTCCCAATATGCACTCGTATCGTGTGGGGCGCCGATTGCTTACCATCACAATTAATACAAAAAAATTATAATTTATGTAAAAAAAAATCTAATAAATACCTAAATTGTCGTTCGGAAATGTAATCACAACTTTTTACTAACCACCTCCTTCAAATAAATACAAGAAGCTATTAAAGTAGTTTTGTTGCAATGCTTATAAAAAATGCTACGCTAAGAACGGCAGCGGTGAAAATGCTTTTTAGTTTACACTACTTTAACATCCAAAGTACTTCGGTATAAAGTGCTTTAGCTAAAAAATATAGTTATTGTAAATAAAAATACGTTTTGAGTTTTGTCCTTGTCATGTTTGAGAAATAGTTCCTTGAATGGACAAAAACTGTTTAACTACTTCAGGCAAACATAAATTATAAATATTATTGAACTTCAAGTGATTTTTGAGAGAAGGTTTTAATCACCATGCTTGCTTAAGGCGGCTTGGCGATTTCAAACTTGTAATTAGAAATTATACGGCTTCCCCACAATGTTTTCCTTTACCATAATATGTGAGATGTTTCTTAATAATCATATAACATACTTACTTGAAAAATGTCACATTGGTATTTGCCAGGTTTCGAACACGCACTCTCATGCATGAAAAGCGGGCGCGCCTTAACCTCTAGGCCGCCAAGACGTTATTATTATATCTTTATTAAATCTATTTAATAGTAATAATTACAAGTAACGAATAATCGCTCCACAAAACCTGTAAAGAAGATCCACTTTAAATTCCACGTTCTAATTTTCTAAATAGCTCTTCACAGCTAGGGAACGTAAGCCCTAATAGGATCAAATAAGCACTCACGCGATCCCGCACAGACTCCCGGGATATCCCGGACTCTCCTCCGGGAGCACTATCCCGGGATCGAGTATTACAGCCCTATTTCCGTAACTGAGAGATTACCCCGGGGTTTTCTTAGTGTGGATGCGTGAGCTAAGTTTATGAGTATTCTTGTTAATTTTATAGGTTTAGATAAGACTACGAAGAAACTGATAGCCGATTATTTTTGTTTTGATAATGGAATTATCGATATATACATTCTATATCTACATAACTTCTGGTCATGTCTTATTTATGTATTCGTCATTTAAACTACATATTACGTATTGGAAATAGGTTTTTCTTTCAATTTGTTCAGTGTTGTCGGGATTCTTGATATTTACAGATTCCTGTACTCGATGATTTAGTCAGATATTTGGATCGTGATGTGAAATAACAAAAGACATCACGACCTTCTGCTATTCATTTTTAATTGATATAAACAATACTAGCAATAATGCTAAGATACAATTATCTAGCTTACAATTTTTGCTGACCTGCGCCGCAATACTTATCTTTATATATGTATATGTATAATTCTACTGTACTTGTGTTTGTCATTGAACTCCTCCTAAACGGCTTGACAGATTATGAGGAGTTCAATGACAAACACATATATACTTAAATGATTTCTCCTGTATGTGTTTGTTCAGCACCCTGGGTGGTTTAGATTCACAAATCAGACCGGCAGATGGCGCGAATTGTGCATGCGCCAAAAAGCGTTGATCTCAAAAATGGCCCTAACGATTTCGCTGAAATTTGTTAAAGTTATCTATAGGTATAACAAAAAGTATCAAATGACTTCCCCAGCCTTGGGTGGAGCAAGAGGGAGTGTCAGACTCTTACTGACTAAACACCACCCCGTTTTCTTCTCCTGCTCCGAAGCGGGGTCTTGGCACATTATTGCGGTTTCACTCGCAACCTCAGCTATAGTTTAATCCCTTCGGACATTCATTATTCCCTTTCTTTTAGATTTTTTCATTTCAACTTTTTATCCTTAGCCACATTAAATTCATAACAGAACAGTCACAATAAATTGTAGGTACAACTAAAATAACCAAACAAATTTTCTATAAACAAAATTAATCTTTACGACGTTACAATAAAGTCTCTTGGTTTGTTTTGATAAGATATTATGTCTACAAAATTAGAACAACGAGTGACCTTTGTTTGTAATCTATTCGGTACAGGAGCTAAATAATATATTTAATACTTACGATATAAGAATATAATACGTTATTTTTGTGAAAGGAAAATCATCAAATTTCTTCTCAGGAGTGTCAGACTCTTACTGACTAAGAAACCCCCGTTCCTCATTGCGCTTACCCCGCAACCCCGGCTGAGCATCTGCCCTATAGGGTGTCTGTGGTGGTCTATAGGCTATGTGTGTGTGTTTGTGTGTGTGTGTGTGTGTGTGTGTGTGTGTGTGTGTGTGTGTGTGTGTCTGTCTGTGACTTTGTGTGTGTGTGTGTCTGTGACTTTGTGTGTGTGTGTGTGTGTGTGTGTGTGTGTGTGTGTTTGTGTGTGTGTGTGTAAATAGACCACACAATAGGCACTTTTTAACGAGTTCCAACAACACACTGCACTCAGATCAGTTCAATTTACCATCCTTTTTAATCGACTTCAAAAAAGGAAGAGGTTCTCAATTCGACGCGTATTTATTTAGTCATAATAACTGAATTCAAATATAATAAATAATTGGAAATTCTTTTTTAAATCCCGTTTTTATCAACAGCCCGTTCACTACGCTTATTTGTACCTCCTGCCTTCGTCCTTCGCGGGCAATTTGATTGATCGGATTGGAGCGAACCAAATGACGCGGATAAAAGTCTCGTCTTAGTATCAGCTACGTAGAATACCTGAGCCAGAGCAAGCATCAATGTCTTCAAACCTAGACATTTCAGGGTTGCAGGGTAAGCCCAATGAGGAGAAGGAACGGGGGGGGGGGGGTTTGTCAGTAACAGTCTGACACTCCCTCCCGCCCGTCCTTGGGCGGGAAAAGTCATTTGATGATTTTCCCCTCACGAAAAAAAAGGTTGAACTTGGCCGTTATATTTATGTAGGTATATGTATAAATGTTAGGTTGTAGTTTGGTAACAGCCTAAAGAAGAACAGAGGATAGGGTAGAGTCTTCTTTTCTTTTCTTCTTCTTTACAGTTGTTAAGTAGGCTAGGTAGAATTGTAAAGGTATGGTAGGGTAAACTGGGAAGTTAGGTAGAGTAGTGTAGGTAAAGTAATGTAGGGATTCAAAAGATGAGAGCAAAGTCCCAAGTAAGACCTAGTGTTTTAAATATTTTTTGTACCCAAGCAAAAAGCCTTCTTCAAAATATCTACCAAGTTTGGTTCAACAACATTAACTTTAATATCGGTTCACCGATTTGCGCGTAAAAGCGTAACACACAATAACAAACTCACTTTCGAATTTATAATATTGTAATTTCAGTTAACAAGCATGATATTTTACAAAGTAAATATTAACTGAATAAACGTATACGTATACCTAATCCAAATAACATATCGGTAACACGTTATTAGAATTTATTTTTCCAAGTTTTACCAAATATTAGGTATTCATAATATGTTTACTTACGGGTATTATATTACTGGTGCTTACAAACTTTTTTTTCGCTGATGTTACCTATATTTTATGATTTCAAAGTAAACTTTAGCTTTAGCTGGTAGGGAGATGTGAATTGTTTATATTGTGATTTTATACAAAGGTATTTTAATGGTTGGAAAATCATCCAGTGGCTTGTCCTACTCCGAGTTTTACTGCCATTAAATTGAAATAATTTTGGCAATCCGACCAGCGGTTCCAAAGATTACCCCCTACATACAAACTTACAAACATACAAACATACAAACTTACCAACTTACAAACTTACAAATTTTACCTCTTTATAATATTAGTATAGATTTCAATCCTATGATTAAAGCAATTATTTATTTGTTGAAAGATCTTAAAGTGAAGTAAAGCGGGAAAATTAATTTTATTTTTACTTTCGGTTGTTTAATTGAGCAATAATTACTAGGTTCTGCCAGCTTCTCTGCCCGTGGTACTAGGGTGAAAAGCCTAGTTCCAGACTATAATCTATGTCAGATTTCATGCAGATCCGTTCAGTAGTTCTTACCTGAAAGAGTAATAAACACTTTCTATATTTAAACACTTTCGAGTTAATGTTTTTTTTTAAATGTTGGATATTTTAATTGTGTGATGTAGTTGTAGTGTTAATGTATATTACACAGTTGTATGTATTTGCAGAACAGGTCGCCGCCGCCCGCCAACATCCCCAATGCGATGCTCTACTCGCCCCCGGAGCCCTTAGAGGTGAGTTACTACACAAAAATACTCGCTGCTCGTTTGCCGACCTATTACATTAAAAAAAAATAGTGTGACGCAATGACGACATGGCTACGCAATCAAAATAATTAGATACGCTTAAAAAGAAAATATGCTCTGGAATTTTCCACCATGTAATGAGCATTCAACCCTATCTTATTAAGTATAATAATTAGCAAAAACCTTTCCAAGGTTTGTATTATTTAAGACAAAAAACAATATTCAAAAAGCCCAAAAGCCGTTGCTAACAACCACCGGTTTAAAACAAATTCAACACGATCAAAGAAATCCTTAGAAAATTACAGCTCCATTCAATGTCCGCTGGATTCTTATTATTTCGTTTATTTGCCAGTTTCCGCAGACATTTTGAATGTTGTGTCCCGCCAAACGTTTCGCGCCATATTTAATTTTTTTGACAGTTCGAATTTTAAAATTGTTTGTTATATAAATGGACTGGACAGTTGACGTGATGGACGGACGACCGGCTTTAGTGCAGTATGGAACAACTCTTTGTATGTTCCACAAGTTGTTGTTCCGGGTCTGGGTGTAATGTGTATCTAAAATTTTATGTACTCAAGCGAATGGTATTAGTAAGAAAAAAAAACAAAAAAGTCTCTATGCTTTATTTCTAAGAAAATTTAAAAAGCCTAAACAATCGAAATTCAAATAATCTGCTAAGCCACATTTTTTTAATATTCGTCGTTTAAAAAATACTGCACAGCGGTGTTATTGAATTAATTTCTTCTCTAAAACAAGTCTGCCACCTTCGTAATTGGTTTACGTTACCTTAATGACGTTTTCACTTAATTTTCGGACCCCAAAACGAATCAATAATGCCAGAGCAGAGAAATTCGCTAAATTGAGTGCACCTACGTAGGGAAGATCAACTTAACTTTTAATTTATTTTTATACAGAAAGTGAAAACAAAATAAACATCACGGAGGGTAAAAAAATATTTTTTCAGACACTGAGACACTACTACTATTATTTTGTATTTTTTTACAGACTTAAGTATTTAAAATACATATTGTTACAAATTTACATTACTAAATTCTTATTGTTACCACGAGTATTATGTGGAAGTTACACACACACATGAACATATCATGCTGGAGATTATCTACCCATTACAAAGAACATTCCCCACCCAACAGAGCGGCCACAAACTGGCGCGTCCTTGTTTGATGAGCCTTTCTACCTGAAAAACTTTAATAAGACAAACTATAAGCAACAAAACAGAAGGCATAAGCAGTACGAATATTGTGCACGATAGTGTCACATTGTCACAAGGCACAATAGGAACCTGAAAACCCATTCTGCTAGACCCACATTGGAAACACTCTGTGAATGAAGGAATCGTTTATTGAATGAACACGGGTGCTAGGTTTTGTTTGTAAATGTGAATAGATCCAAAACAAAAGCTGTCGAGCTACGTTTGGGTCTAAACCTGAGACAAAGGGCTCAAAGAAATACAGGCCTTCCAGTATTCCCTTTGATAACAAAATTTGGTCCGTTTTAAATGTTCTGATTCTAAAGTAAATTACTCATGAACTAGCTTCTACCCTTCTTAGATAATTTTACATATAAATCTAGCATTAAATATAACACATCTTATTTACTGTGTCATCATTGAATAGCTTTTTGAACTGAATATAACCTCAAAGATCTGTCGTTTTAAAATCATGTCCAGAATAATACAAAAGGACGCTTAAATTACATTAAATTAGGTCATAATACTGTCTTCAAAATACATGTTCAATGTTTTCTTAACTTTATCTGATTTTATTTCTTTTTCCTGGCAGTTACTATGCGTGTTCCCGGAGCGAGCATCGCGCGTTTGCGCGGCGGCTTGCGCTGCAGTCGCGCGAGCAGGCGGCGAGGCGCGCTCGGTTCGAAGCGCGCGCGACACGCTCGAGGCGTTACGACGCGACTCCGACAGCAAACAACCGCACGTTATCGTCGTAGACGCGCGACAACCTCAGACGCTAGACGCGTTTTTACTCGCCAGGTTTGTACCAAAACTAATATTTATTAAGAAAAAGCCTTGTTTGATATTTCCCCCGAGGCTTCTAGTTATGATTAATTTCTCTTGCTAGTTCAGTCTTGGGTTTATTGAAGTGGAAAAGTACAGCAAAGCTATTGAATTTCAAAGTAGTTTCATTATTTTAAATGAGATTTGTTTTCTTATTAAATTCTTTACAACTCTTAGAAGGAGACGTTTTGCTCCCACTTATACACTCTACAAATAGACACAAACGTTACAATAGAATAATTCAACAACTCAACTTTAAATGCGCACTAAAAAAGTTATTACGTATGTACTAGGTACACAGTGGTCGCTAAAGTTAATGCATTCGCAGTCAATCTCCATTAGGATCACGGGAGTAACTTGTGCTCGGCTTTGTACGGAACACAATTTGCGTTCGTTCGCGGCCATGTTAAATTGGACGTTTCGTGACGTAGCCGCGTGGACCGCGTACCGACAAATTGGAGTGCACGCCTTTCCCGCTTGCAAATAAACAACTTCATACCTATCTATGTACGATGTGCGCATTGTAATTTTATTAAGCTTTTAACACGCATTTAGTGGTTGTTTCTATATTCCATGTACCAGTTTGGCAATTTAAAACTCAAATGGAAAGTAGGGTAACGTTAAAAAATAATAGACATGTTTCATAAATTTGAAGTAATAAATACTCCACACAGTTGCGAATCTCGTCCAAAGTTTACTTGTTCAATATTTTCGCAGTCCATATTGAATGTTTACTGAAACATAAAATGTTGACAACAGCATTCGTTTATTTTAAGCTTCAGATCCCAGATTCGTGCAAATATTATCGTTCTGTATGCCCACTGTTTGCTCTCGATGATATCGATCAGAAATTGTTGGAATACGTTTCAAGGTTATCATGACATGTCTGAAATGTTTTGTAACGAAATAATGAATTTATTTTTGTCTATAGGCTGTGAAACACTTAATTTACACGTCAATATTATTAGCAACAGCTAGAGTGGTCGTGTCACGAATACAGTTCACTAGAGGTCTCTAGTTTCTTATGAGCCAATAATGAGCAGAATAATCAGCTGATGATAATGGTCACAACACTGAGTTGAAAGTGCGTTGTCGCCCTTTTAGGATTTGAGGATTGTGTAATCGGGGATTCGTAAAGGCGAGGGAAAGAACTAGGCGCCTGGTAACCTTACTCACACTATTAAATATAAAGACTGGGTTGTTTCACATCAATTTTCCGTAAGGCTGTTGTGAGAATCTGGTTGAGCCAGACCATTCACACCGAAGCATAGCTCTACCGCACATAATCTAGTCTTTGTCAACAGACCAGAAGGTTTCTTTAGTCTAAGACCCAAGTTTAGGAGTTCCATGATTAACAGAGAGCCCTACCCAGTCAATATTCGATACTGTAAAAGTATTAGTGACAATTGCAAGACTCCCTTATGTAAAATCAAAAGGACAAAGTCAGAAACATTATTTCAACAAAACCACATGGTACCTACTTTTAAAACTCCATTAGTGAAGCTACGTGCCTATTCTAAATGTAGATTCGAATGGAGAAGATTGAACAAGAAAAATATGTTCTACAATCTCACTGATACATTTATTTAATCCAATACTCTACATATGAGAACAAAGCACACACACACATACGATGGCTATTTTGTTCATACATCTGATTTAAAAAGCCTTAAGTTTTCAGCAAAGTCTGCAGTGTCTTTTCAGTACCTAAACACATCACATAAAAGAAAGAAAAAGGTTATAGCCTAAATATTACAAACATAAATATGTATACTACTAGCTTTTCCCCGCGACTTTGAATACGACGTTGAATAGTGTATTCAATCGCGTGGAATATGTCCTTTCTCGGGTTCCAAACTATGTCTGTACCAAATTCCAGACAAAAACAGGTTCAGTAGTTTAGGCGTAAAGAAAAGATCGAAAGACAGACTTATAATTATTAGCTTAGATTTAGATAAAATCGTAAACAAACTTATATCACAATTTCAATGCAATAATACAGTTAGCATCTCTAACTTGTAATAACGTGAGCAATTAAAAGTTTTGCTCGTTAGAAACCCAAACTTCGTACCACTGCACAAAAACTTTATATGAAATAGTATCATAATATTGGGATGCAAATAGTGACCTAAAAATGTTGTGGTGGCCCGGAGGTTAAGGAGCCCGCTTCTCATGAAATGCAACTTGTCAAGTACCAATGGGACTTTTTCCGAGTCATATGTACTTTCTATGATTATTTAGACACCACTGACATACGGTGAAGGGAAACCTGGACTTATAATTTCTAATTATAAGTTTGAAATCGCCAACCCACATTGAGCAAGCCTGGTGATCAATACTCTAACCTTCTCTGTATGAGAAGAGGCCTTTGCTCAGCAGTGGGCACTTATAGGCTGATGATGATCATGATGAAATAGAGACCTAAAATAACATGATTGTAGGTCTTTTAACCTCTGTTAGGCAGAGGCTTTTTTATGAAACAGGTCGGCAAACAAATGGACATTAAGCAGATCCCCTATTGTAAGCAATTGGCGATGTCTTGGATACCCGCTACATTGCAGAATTACAAGTGTTACTTTTGGGGGTAAGAGATTTGAAGATTGTAGATGGGGGGGATTGTGTCTCTAGTGACCTCAATGACACAGCGAAACACGAGCGTTGTTTAAGGATGTGGTATTACTGCGGTCAAGCCGGCCAAAGTATGACTTTGCCAAAAGTGGAAGGGCCATACTCAAGAAAAGGTGGTGAATTATGTATACAATACATATGCCAAATACATTTTTAGATTTAGAATGAAATTTGGCACCTGATATCTTGATATTCGCACTGTCATTAGTGATTTGACTATTAAACTAACTAAAAAAATTATTTATTATTTCCAAAATATTTTCTTTTTTAGGTACTTCTCCTTAATATACTCTCGAGGTTCTTGCTCCCATTATTCCAGGACCTCAATAAAATAAGGATAGACATTCCGACGCCCAATTATTCAAGTCATCTTGTATTTTATTGTCCAAATCTCCAAGATAACTAGACCATTGATTATTGCTTATTGCTTCTAGTTAGTCTCTAATTTGGGCCGATTACCTTTGATGGGATAATGAGCCCATTGTCCGCACTCCAACGAATACAACCTTGGAACTATGGTGGTTCCGATCACATAATTATCAATTGTATTGTGTGCCTCGGCATCAGCAATGATCATCAATCATTTTTCTTTCTCTAGCCTTTTCGCAACTAGGTTAGGGTCAGTACTGAGTTTCCCAAGTAGACATTGTAGTGAAATAAGATCGTGACATGTTAGTTGTGTTTCGCCGTGTAAATGAGGTTACCAGAGGCCCAATCCTTCCTCTTCCCCAAACCCAAAATCTTCAAATCCCTAATCCCCAAAAGGTATGCACTCGTAACTCTTCCATTGTCACGGGTGTCCATGCGCGGCGCTGACTGCTTACCATCAGGTAACACAACGGCTCCTTTGCCGTCCTATGACATAAAATAATTAACCCCACTGGACTATGGTTCTCCTCATTGATTGTATTCAACCCCATTAACAAGTTTTCTAGTAGTTCTAGTTTATAAGTACCTACCTACCTAATTGATTACATTGGCTTTTATTATACTTGTTATTGAACTCTTTGTACACACATTAGGTTACTATTAAAGTAAATATTAATAATAAATGATTGTGTTGTCCTACTATACTTTATCTAAATTCGGCATTTGACTAATATCCAGTATGTTACTTATATCTACATAATTAGGAAAAACGTTTCCCATCACTAAAACTTTCTCCGGTGTTGTGGATGTGTTTATAAACATACCATTTCACATAAACATGACATCCAGACACAAAACAAAAATTTGTGGATCACACAAAGAATAAATTGTTTCGTGCGGGAATGGGACACGCTACAGTCGGTTGCAGCTACTACGACAACCGCGCATTAAGATTTTTGCTCACAACTTACACCACTTTATTTCCAAAAAGGTCCTATACTCGAGTTCCCTCCAAAATTGTCAAATAAAAGTGGTTCTTTATATTTGTATTCATCGTCACCCTAATATTTTGTATTCTCCACACTTCCTCGCTAGATTTCCATTACTACCGTTGCCAGTGTATTATCCCTTTTCCGACTTTGTAACCGAGGGTTTGGAATTCAATTCATGTTGAGGACAACTTTGTTAAGTCTCAGCTTGGTGGAATTAGTCACGGTACCTTATAAGGCGCATTTCCTTGCTGTCGTTATTTCGTCTCTAGCTTTTTTCCTTAATTTTTTGTTCTTGCTTCCTTAAAAATGTTTATTTGACATAATTCTTTAATATGCTGTCTCGTTATTTCAATTATTTTAAAAATCTTTTGTTTTCGTTTTAAAAAGATTTAAGTACCCTACTTTATTATCCTTTTTTTTGGCTGTGTGTCTAAACATACAATTGAACCTACACACGAAGCTCTGAAACGACAATTTGTGGATCCCACAAAGTGTTGTTCCATTCAGTAATTGAGCCCGCGACACGTTGCGCAGCAGTTGGCTACCCAGCCACTCCGCCAAGCGGTGACTTTGTACTTGATCATTAGTTGCTTCATTAGTAGTGAATTTCCATTGCATGGGATTAACAACTAGAAAAGCTGTAATTATCTGCAATCACGTTAGCATATTGTTTCGATAAGTCAAAGTAACGCTGTGGTAACAAATGTCTATTAAATGATTAACAAATATTGAAAATATTGTATTTATTAATTAATATTAATATATTAATAAATATTAATAAATATTAATAATATTAATATATTAATAAATATTAATATATTAATATATTTATTATTTATTAATATTAATATTTATAAATATTGAACATACAATACCATCAGATTATAACTCATTTACTCCTTTTTTTCGTGTCGAGTTGGAAAATCCTCATGAAGACATCCTGGCCTTCGAACAAGTTCGAAGGGTACTGTCAGACTCTTACTGAAC